TTCGGATAGAAGATCTACATCCGGATATTGTGTCTCCATTGGTGGTAACTTGATTTCATGGAAAAGTAAGAAACAAAGTGTTGTGGCAAGATCCAGTGCGTAAGCGAGAATATAGAGCTATGACCTCAGCTTCTCGTGAACTTGTTTGGCTCAAGCAATTGCTTAGAGAGTTACAATTTGGAGATGTCACTCAAATGACACTTGTGTGTGACAATCAGCTGCTCTTCATATTAGTTCTAATCCTGTCTTTCATGAGAGGACCAAACACATTGAGATTGACTGTCATTTTATTCGAGAAAAGATTATGTCTCGGAGATATCAAGACCGAGTTTGTTAACTCAAGTGATCGGTTAGCGAGATATTTTTACTAAATCTTTACGAGGTCCTAGAATTGATTATATTTGTAACAAGCTTGGCACATACGATTTGTATGCTCCAGCTTGAGGGGGAGTGTTAGATATTGTTTATATATTATTTGATATTGTTAAGATATTGTTAGATATTGGTAACCACAATATCAAACAATATCTTCTGTTTATTCTGTTACTTTCGGTTACTCTTTTAGTTGTATATCTCTACTATAAATAGACTACCCTATGTGTGATTTATACACAAGGGAAATTAATTCCAAACCATATTTTCTCTATATTCAACACAATCCACTCACCCAGATTCATCAATAATAAATCTTCCCAAATCATTTTATTTTTCATGATTTAAATCATTTTATTTTATTTAAAATTCCTTCCCGTCCACGCACAAAAGCAAACAAGAACTTGCTTTCTTCAAATGAATATGTTGTTTTATCACTACTACAAAATATACTTTCAACGTCGTTATTTAACGTCGGTTAAAGCTGAACCGACGTTAAATACACTTTCAACGTCGGTTGGTTAAAAAACGACGTTGAAAGTGGAATGTTGGACACATTCTACGTCGGTTCTTAGTCAACCGACGTAGAAAGCACTTTCCACGTCGGTTCTAGATGAACCGACGTTGAAAGTCTTTTAATTTAGACATTCAAGTCGGTTCCCGGATGAACTGACGTTGAATGTGTTTTCACCCAAAAATTCTCTTAATTTCAAGAATTGTCACTGACAGGATTCGAACCCAGTATTTTAGAGTTGAAAATTGATACTCCAACCACTAAACTACTGTAATTTTCCGATAATAACTTACAAATTAATTATATTTATATACAAATAAATATATATCCGTGTAAATATATATTTATTTATATATATTTTCTGGAAAATGTTTTTATTTTTTTCAGCCAAAAATTTACTTAAGTTCGAGAATTGTCACTCGACGGATTCGAACCCAATATTTTAGAGTTAAAAGTTGATACTCCAACCACTAAACTACTGTAATTTTCTGATAATAACTTACAAATTAATTATATTTATATATAAATAAATATATATCCGTGTAAATATATATATTTTCTGGAAAGTGTTTTTATTTTTTTTCAGCCAAAAATTTACTTAAGTTAGAGAATTGTCACTAACAGGATTTTTGAACCCGAGTATTTTAGAGTTGAAAATTGATACTTCAACCACTAAACTACTATAATTTTTTTATAATAATTTACAAATAAATTATATTTATATACATATAAATATATATTCGTGCAAATATATAAATATAGAATATATAAATACAAATATATTTATATATTTTGATATATTTATATAGTTATATATTTATATGTTAGATGTGAAGGCGCGTTCGAGGGTGAAAGTGAGATTGACTATCGCTTGAGTGAAAATACGTTAAAACTCACGGAAATTCACTCGTTCAAGCCTCGCTTGAGCGAAAATTGGTATTTTTCGCTTGAGCGAATGATGCGTTTCTCATATTTATTTTATATCATTAATAAATTATAAATATTATATTCTCGTCATTAAATTACAAACCCATATAAAGAGACTCGCTCACAAATTTGACATCAAATTTTGAAAACTCACTCGACACACTTTCACCTTCGAGCGTGCCCTCACATCCAATATATAAATATATAATTATATAAATATATCAAAATATATAAATATATTTGTATTTATATATTTACACGAATATATATTTATTTGTATATAAATATAATTTATTTGTAAGTTATTATAAAAAAATTCGAGTAGTTTAGTGGTTGGAGTATCGACCTCCAACACTAAGGTACTCGGGTTCGAATCCTGTCAGTGGCAAAAAATTAATTTGGTAATGCTCTAAACTTTAAAAAAAGATGATAAATAATAAAAATATAATATAAAAGAGAGAGGTACCTAATAAAAATATAATATAAAAGAGAGGGGGGATTTCTAGATAAATAGAGAGGGGAGAGGGGTTGGAAATAAATAAAAATTTTTTATTTGAAAGTGAGGACTTTCCACGTCGGTTCTGATTTTAACTTTCTACGTCGGTTAATAGAACCGACGTTGAAAGTCTTGACTTTCAACGTCGCTGATATAACGTCGGTTCGAACCGTTGAAGGCCTTCGAACCGACGTGGAAAGTCTTATTTGTAGTAGTGTATTAATGTATATACAAATCATAGTTACGACATAAATAATTAAGAATAACTAAAATAATTTATATATATTTTTTATTTTAATAACATATCCATTTTAAGATAAAATTGTGAGAGATGATTAATTATCAAATAAATGATATTTTCATAATATGTTTAAATTATTTTTAAGATAATTTATTTTATAACATTTTACTCAAATAAAAGAAATTGGTTAGAATTTAGAAAAATATGACATCACATATATTCTAGGACATTAGTTAATCATATATTCTCTAATACATTAGTTAATCATGTAAAAAAATATATGACACTATCTTCTATTCGTAAAACATTAAATTATAGATTTTTTTTGTTTATAAATTATTCAATTTTTTTATTTTTATTAAAGAAATTCAACTTACATTTAAATTCTCACCTGTAATTATATATATATATATATATATATAGTTATGTAGTTGAGTGTTCAAACTAAAACTCTTTGAGCAAAATAGTATATAATATATGCCAACAATACATAATAAGCACTAAAGGTGTAAAGGATTGTTTGGTTTTGGTGTAAAAGTGCTTACCCTTTGGGAAAAAAATCATATGATGTCGTCAATTGTTGTTACAATGTAGCCAATTCCAGCGCTTTTCTAAGTTTGAATTCGGTAACCATTTGTCTTCTTATTCTCAATTTCTTATGATTCAACTTTTGACGAATAGAACATAAAAAAAAATCAATATTGACCATAGGAATTGTTTTTTTATGGAAGAAAAATTATATATATATATATATATATATATATATATATATATATATACATATATAATTTTTATTTTATTTTTAACAATTTCACACCTTATTTTTATGATATTTCTATTTTTTTCTTTATCTTGAATAATGAAAACATAAACTCTATTATTAAATTAAAATAAGTCTTTATTAATTTATGGATGTATTGGATGGTGACTGGTGTTACGTAAGAATAAAAATATTTTGATTTCAATAATAATATTGTTAAAATTAATTCTCATCTAATTTTGTTTTAAAAAATAGATTAATATATACATATATTTCAATTTTTAAAAGAAGTGAGACAAAAAAAATAATATTATTTTACTAATTAATTAGGATATCATTGCTTTTCTTAATAGAAATTAAAAAGTATTCCGTCGGCTAGCTAATAAGTAAATTTTGCCTCTTGGTCTCTGATAAGATATACGTTATTGTCAAGTTCCGAGAATTCATTTTACAAAGACAAAAGTTGAATTTGGATCTACTTCAGATATATTCAACTGCTATATTAATAGAATATGTTCAGAATTCTTGGCTGAGCTGGGTAGCGGTGGCTTGTGAGCGAAGGTAATGGAACATTCCCATTTTTATTTTTTTCTAAATAATATTTATGGATACCAAGTGAAATATCAAGTTATCAATAAAACATATAATTCTACTGATTGTATGGCTCAGAATTCTTTGTAAAATACATGTATAATAATATAAACATTAACAAAAGATAGACATAATGAGGAAGGACCCTGCAGGTAAAATATTATTAGATTGTCATTTATGTCCGTTAATTTTCCTTTCTTTCACTTAAAGGCATTTCTCATGTAAATATTATTTTACTCTCATCATCGAAAACTTTTGCACTCATAATTAGATAACATGATATTTGATTTAAAAAAACGAGTTAGACTATTATTTGATTGAAAATGAAAATAAGAATGATGATTCAGACAATAATTACGAGAGATGAGGTAAGTGACAGTGATGGTCGTCGTGCCATTGACTTGTCTCTATACATAAATAAGGATGACAGGGATATGAATTTGAATGCAAGTTGGGGACAAAGTTGAACATCTGGTATTGAATTCAATTTTTTTTTTTGTTGGGGTTTAAATAATAGAAGCCACCATTTTAATCGTATATATACTATTTTTAAGTATAGTGTGTGGAGTCTCGTCAACCTGTGGAAGCATAATGTTGTCGCCACCCCAATCAGATAGATACACCTTCACAAAAAAGTGCTGTGAATAAAAACATAAATCCGGTGCTGCTAATGGATTGAACTATACACGCACAGTGCTGGAAAATCTATGATTCTTGGTGAGAGTGGAAAATGTATGAACATAAGACTTTGCCTAGTTGCACATTAATTGATGAGAAAGATTTGCACCATCCCCGTGTATAGTATGCTCGTGCCAAAACATAGACATTGTCGAAGAATCGAATTTATACACTTCTATTTGAATACAGAAGCTTCTTGGAAACAAATCTTGGTCAATGTACGTTCCTAGATTGAGATCGAGAATAGATCATTATTTTCCTTAGATGTGACACATTTTCACGCACAGACTACTTATATAAGCATCGAAGCCCATCGCAAACCTCACCGTACGAAATCACCACCCAGTAACACCAACAAGCTAGCTAGCTTGCTAGGTCAAAAGTAGAAAAGTTCACAACAATTAAGTCCAAGAAGAAGAACATGGAGGAGCACCAGAGGGGGAAGCAGGGCAAGGAAGAGGTGAGGTACCGTGGCGTGAGGCGGCGGCCGTGGGGGAAGTACGCGGCGGAGATAAGGGATCCATCGAAGCAAGGGTCGAGGCTGTGGCTGGGGACATTTGACACTGCTGAAGAAGCTGCTAGAGCTTATGATCGTGCAGCTTTTAACTTGAGGGGTCATCTTGCGATTCTCAATTTTCCTAGTGAGTACTACTCCCAAATAAGGGGTTCACCACCTTATCCACCTCACTTAGCAACACCCTCTTCTTCCTCTTCTCATGCTACTGGAAGCACTTCTTCTTCTTGTGCATTCCAGAGGCCTGTTTTCGAGATTCCTTGTTTGGATGATAAGGTGTTGGAGGATCTTCTTGGTCAGTCAGAGGAGCACAAGAAGAAAAAGAAGGGAGATTGATTGAATAGTACTATTACTCTACTCAATCGTCATTTCTCTGCTCTTTCTTTATCCTTAATTAGCAATTATATAGTAGTAATAACTGATCAAACTGAATCTGATCTCACTCTTCAGATCTAGATACAAGCAAGCAATAGTTGTAACCTTCATTATCTGTGTTTGTACAAGTTACTGTTTATGGATGAAAAGGAATTATAATAAACTCTAGTTTAACTAATTAAGTAGTGCCTTTGTCTTCAGTTTATTGTTAGGGCGATATATATATATCTACGAAAGGGAAATGTAATGTTTTATAACGGATCTTTCGTGTCTGACATAATACAAGAAGGAAAATGGAAAATGCTTCCTTTCATGTACACCCACTACACATATATAATGGTCTGGAATACATTCATTTTCTGTTTTTGTCAGGAACAACAAATTCCTTATACAAAAATCATTCAGTCAAACCTGTACACTCATGTTTACATTGGTATAAACTTCGTCAACAAATCTTAAATACTGTCACTTGTCTTATCACCGACAAATAATACCGTTTTTCATAAATAAGATTAGTTAAGCTAGTTTATTTAAATTAATAATACCATAAAGTTAAACTTTATCGAAAAAAACTCATAAAACTAAATTATTTAAGTCATTGCATTCTCAATTAATTTCTATAATAATAAAAAATGAAAGTTTATTATATTCAAAGGTGATTTTATGTTACTTATCCCAAAAGAATGTTTAGACACCATATATCTTTTATATTAACAAATAATATATTTTTATCTTGTGGACAAGTTTAAAATGTCATCTCTTTATTGTATTGCTAACAAATGTATTTTACTATTAATATATATATATATATATATATATATATATATATATTCAATGATTTTAATAACATTTTAATTCAATTAAGATCTAAATATTATTTGATATACTGAAACAAATTATCATAGTTGTACAAAATTATGATTATGTATTAACTAAGATATTTTCCCTTCCCTTTTTTATTTAGATTCTCATCCTAAAATATGACGAGTTCTTATTTAGTTCATAGAAGGGATTTTCCAACGTTGTTAGTTCCATCGCAACCCAACAGAACTAGTATGTACAAATTAAAGTTAATTTCTTTTGTTGTTTTATCATCTAAGTGACCTCACATTTTCATTTAAATACAAATTATAAAGGACTCATCTTTCTATGTTAACATATCCTTACTAATTTAAGGCTTAACCTCTGCCTTTTTTTATGGCATAACAAATTTTATAATTGTAATTAATTATTACATAAATTAAATATTTTCTATATGGATTCTTTAGCTTTTCAAAAAAAAATATGTAAAATATTTGAATGTAGATAACTTGTAATTATTTTGTAAAGAATTCAAATTTAAATCCCTAGGATATACGGTCTACGTAGACAACTTATCCATGTGAACCATGGAACCAGGAACCTCTGATTTGAAAATATGAAAAAATATGGTTCTACACATTCTTATCGTTCATTCTCATATGTTTTGATATATGTGTTGGGTGATCCACACAATTAAATTTGTTTTTCTTTAAGAATTGAACCAATTTTCAGAGTCAGGTATTAGATCATGATTTTAACTGAATGAAACCCAAACAGCCAAACTATTGTAACTGTTATAATGTTTCTTTTAAATGGTTTAGTATGAAAATATTATTCAAACCCAAGATACAGAAATTAATATTAGGTGTTATTCTTAGTTAAATTACACATTAAATTTTATCATTGCAGTAATTAGATTTAAAGTATGTAGGATTCTACATTTGAATCTAATTGTTATTGTGCACACAAAAATTTGAATTAAATATTCCGTAAAGTAACATATATGTCATTACTTTAAGTGGAATTAATAAGATTATAAATAAAATATATTTTAAAACAAAATTAATGAGGATATGATTTATTAAACTGTTGGGTATCAGAGCACATACAAGAGAAATAAAGATAAATAAACAAATTTAGAAATTAATGTGGTTCGGTACCTCTCTACATTCACTAACACACTCAACAGAATTTTATTACTTAACTTGCAATTTTACAAGTATAAAATTGCAAATCCTCTCATACAATTTTTACACGAAAAAATTGTAAACTCTCTCTTAACACATAATTACCCAAGTTCACAATACACCCAAAGATTAATGTTATTGTGGTGAGTAAATCAAAACTATCACCCATTATTTATAGTAGTAGTCTATCACTTCCCTTCTTCAAACTACTCGATGTGCGACTTTTGAGGATACCCACACACTTTGGGTACAACGTATTTTATTTTCATTCAAAATCTCATGTTAATCTATCATCATGACAGACCACATTTACAGAAGAAATATTCTTCTTTTCCTTCATGCATTTCAAGTCCTCCTTGAATTTTGGACATTTGACTTGAACGTGACAAAACTCTCAATAGTAATGACACTGAACAGTACTCATATCTCTAGGTTGGAATCTTCTACCATGTTGATCATCATACTTCTTCTTTCTTTGCTCGCTTTTGGCTAGCAGTATCTAACTGTCTTCAAAGGATTTATCACCACACATCATTTGTTGACTCTCCTTCAACGTCCTTATCACCTCATCTAGTAACAAGGTACTCTTCCCAACTAGCAATGATTGCACTAGTGATTTATGAGACTTGGGTAGAGAAGCAACAACAATAATGTCTGCTCTCATCTTTGATAGTCTTCTCTACATTCATCAATCTATATACTAGTTCATTAAATTTATTAATATGATCAAACACGTTACTTTCATCTTCCATCTTCAGCGAATACATATCCATTTTCATCAATCGATTCGTTGATGCAAACTTGCTTTCTAACAAATCCCTCAACCTCCTTGGAGAAGTTTCTTTCAACACAATCACTTTGATTTGTGGAGATAGTGTCAATCGAATTGTGCTCATTGCCTTTTTCTGAATTGTACTCCGTTATTAATCTTTCATCTCACTTGGTTTTTCTTCTTTTAAGGCACAATTGAGATCATGTTGGACTAAAACATCCTGGATTATGCATTGTCATATGGAGAAGTCTATTCTCCCATCAAACAAAGGAACATCTAACTTCATCATAGTCATAGCACCGCATTACTCTAGCCCACATACTCACTAGTGCAAAAAGGGGCTTTTACGTCAGGTATTTAGGGTTTTTTACGTCGTATTTAAGTCCGACGTTAAAGCGGGAGACGTAAATTTACGTCGGACCCTTTTGCCCGACGTAGATTTACGTCAGTTATCAAGATCCGACGTAGATTTACAATAAACAGACGTAAAAACCTTTTCAATTTAAAAAAAAAACAGAAAATTTACGTCGTATATGGTATACGCGACGTAAATTTACGTCGCATATACCAATACGCGACGTAAATTTACGTCGCGTATACCATATGCGACGTAAATTTACGTCGCGTATACCATATGCGACGTAAATTTACGTCGCATATACCAATATGCGACGTAAATTTACTGTTTTTTTTTTAAATTCGGTTTATTTATTCTGTTTTACAACTAAAACCTGCAAATAGTAACCCAGATAGTCCAGAGGTTCAGTTTTCTTTAGCTAGTAAATTAAAAATATAATATTATATAATTCAAACTACATAATAAAACAATATAATACAAACATACAAACTAAAAAATCTATTACAAACTAAGCTACCTATACAAACTAAGCTACCTATACAAACTAAACTAAACTACATAATACACACAATATAATATGAACAAGAACTTAAAAAATAATGTACTAGAATTGTTGAACAAAAAATTTTGCCCATTGTTCTCTAATTTACGTAATCTCGCATTCTCGTAATGGAGATGGATCTTGAAATACCTGAAACATGAATTTGACTCTTGTAAGCATGCAACATGAATAAAGTTAAATAAACTTAACTAATGTTAAAAGTAATTACCTCCGTCCAAGAATCAATTAAACCCGCACAAACTATGGCTCTCATCCAATACATTACATAATAACCACATTCAAACGAGTCGGTTTGCTTATTACACTGAAATGATGAAAAAAACATAATATTATTTTCAAAATTGAAATACAAACAATAATTATGGTATTCACTTATATAAATAAGTTTCTAACCTTAGGATAAATGAACTGCAAAGTCTTTGTTCTAGGTTTTCCACTTAGAACATTAGTTCCAGTACACGATTCTAAGTGAAAAAAGTCATATATTATTCAATATGTATTCACAATTTAAAAACATAATTAATGAATAAAAGATAAACTTACCCTTGTAATAAGCTTTTCATTTCTTGACTCGGTTTCCGATGTAATGAACAAAACCACACCACAGTGTAATCCCGGGCATGATTACAATTAACTGCCAATGGGACCTACATTGTATGACATAAAAATTAGTTACAAAAATATAAATTAAAATACAAATTAAAATACTAACCCTTCAATGTATGGAGCCAAATATATATGTCTTCTTGAGTCACTCATCCATGTTTGCATATATTGTTGGATTCCAACCTTTGTATTTCCAGATTTTTGGATGGATTGAGGCTCAATAAATCCGTACACTTCGGATTTTTCTTGTTCCACACTCAAATTGTCAAGGTACCTAAAACAATTAATTATAAGTTGAATATAATTATTATAATCTTAGAAACATAAATGAAAATGACTTACATTGCCCACAATTGTATAATGGAAATGTTTAACATGCAATTTCTAAAGCATCGGGCAAGGAAATGTACAATGGAACACTGGAATTGTCAATTCCAAACACTCTAACATCCCATTGTATCTGACACGGTCTCTTCCTCAACCGTGGTAATACGGCTAACAACATAGAGATGGGATCATCATCACATTCTGTCAGATCCTCATCAATAATAGGTTGTTTTTTATGCTTTGCACGACGCAAGTCCTCCTAAACAAATGATAACAATTAATTAAACATTTATATAATTATAATACTAGAAAAGAGTAAATAGACAATATGTATATATATATATATAT